GTCAAAACAATATGGTACTGGCATAAAACAGCCATATAAGTCAATGGGATAGAATTCAGAGTCTAGAAATAAACCCACACATCTATGATCAATTGATTTCAATAAGGATGCTAAGACTATTCAATGGAGAAAGAATAGTCTTTTCAACAAATAGTGCAGAGATAACTGGATATCCACACGTAAAAGATTGAATGAAATTGGACTCCCACCTCATACCATGCATAAAAATTAACTCAAAATGGATCGGAGAGCTCAATGTAAGAGCTAAAACTATAAAATTCTTAGAAGAAAATAAAGGTAATCAGGTCAGGCAACGGTTCTTATCTCTTTTAGTTCAATTCCTCCGTTGCTGCCTTCTTTTGTGTTAAATAGATATATTTTGTAGCGCTCCACTTTAATTCCCTTGTCATTTCTTTTACTATGTATTTTGAGTTATCTTGTTAATGATTGTGCGGAGGATAACAATTAACATAACAATTGAGTTCAACTCAATACCAACTTAATTTTAGTAGTATATGAAATGTCACACCTATATAGTTCCATCTCTCTCCCCCACCCATTATGCTATTATTGTCACAAAATATGACACCAAAAGCATAAACAACAAAAAAGATTAGACTTCATCAAAATTTAAAACTTTTCTGCATCCAAGGTAGAAGTCTAGGCTGTCTGTGTGCTTTTTGATGACACCATGGGGAGGAGGACACCTTGCCACTAGCTCCCTACTTAGCCTTCCTTGATAGTCCCAGCAGGGGATTTGGGGGGCTGACTTAGTCCATTTGGGCTGCTGTAACAAAATGCCATAAACCAGATAGCTTATAACAACAGAAATGTATTTCTCACAGTTCTGAAAGCTGGCAAGTCCAAGATTAAGGCATCAGCAGGTTGGGTGTCTGGTGAGGGCCTGCCATCTCACAGACAGAACCTTCTCCCTGTGTCCTCACGTGATGGAAGGGACGAGGGGCCTCTCTTGGGCCTCTTTTATAAGGGCACTAATTCCATTCATAAGGGCTCCACCCACATGTCCTAGTCACCTCCCCAAAACACCACCTCCTAATGCCATCCTCCCCTTATGGGTTAGGACTTCACCATAGAAACTTAAGGGGTAACAGGCTCAGACATTCAGAGGTACATACAGGTGCCTTGTTCTCTGTGGTGTTTGCAGTAGAGAGGTTATTGTCTAAAAGTGTTTTTTCTTGCCAAGCTTCTCATCCACTTGTCGTATGGTAGTGAGAGGAGGCTTTTCTTGGGGCTTTTTTTCCCCGCTCTACCCCTTTTGGTATTTCCAGAGTGCTGGCTTCTTCAGCTACAAGTTTGGTATGTATGAGGCAAAAAGAACACGCAGGGAGCTCACCAACATGCCATTCCTGGGGTCCCAACTTTTCTAGTTTGTCTGCCTTCTTCTCTCTGCCTTCAGAATCGTCTTATGTTTGTCTTATATGTGACGACCAGGGTTTTAGTTGTACGCAGCAGAAAGAATAGGGAAAGTACATCTACTCCATCTTCCCCGAAGCAGATGTTCTGTAATTGACTTTTCAAATGGAAAGTTATAAAATAATTTTATTGTATGCAAGGAGCATTAAAATATTGAAATTAAGATTCATTATATTTGTAAATACAATTTGTTAGTTTGTAAGAATTAGTTCTGTTGTAAGGTTTTATTTCAAAAAACTGGACTTGCAAATGTACTTGAAAAACATATTTTTTTTTTTTACAAAATAAAAGCAGATCACCCTTTTTGTCCACCAAAGCCATGCCTCTAAGAAAGGGGAAGAAAAGACCCCACTCATGTTTATGAGAAGTTGGAGTAGTAATAAACATGTCCCAAACTGGTTTCCAGGAAGTGTTGATTCCTTTAGGCTTTTTAGTTGCAAGTAACAGAAACAAGTTCTTAAGCAGAAGGCAGGGCTGTTCCTGGCTTCAGGAAGGTCCGGAACCAGGATGGCTCCAGGGTCCTGGGGAGCAGCAACTAATTGTTCAGGCCTCACGATGGGCTGAAGGGAGCCAGCCTTTCTTCAGCCATTGTGTTTCTCAGTCCAAGATCTGGATCCCAGGGAAAGAGATTCTGACCTCTGGCTTGGGTCACACTTGGGCCACGCTTGGGCTATGATGTCCAGGGAGGATGGAGCACTGTGAATGACAGTTTCAGTAAGACTGTATTCAGTGGGGAAGGGGCAGAAGGGGAGAGTCCTCCCCAGCAAAATCAGGGTGCCGTTTATTAGAAGAAAAGGAAAGGATTAAAATTCTAGTCAAGTGAGAATCATAGATGTTTACTACAGATGCCAGCGGCTGGATTCCAAGTTAAGAGTTCTAGAGCCAATTAAGTTTGAGAACCTGAGTTAGACAAGAAGAAATTCCTCTGAGAGCCTCTAACATGCTCTGGGAGCCTCCCAGCAGGGGTAGAGGATGCGTTGCCTTTAACTACATGGTACTTTTCTTGCCTTGGCACCCCATTAACATATTAGAATCTCTGGGAACTCAGCTGGGGATGGGCAGGTCTCTGCAAGCCTTTTAGCTCTGAGATCCCATGATCCTACATGAAGGATGTATTCTGCCCGCAGGTGGCTTTATTCCATCTTGCTGCACATCACATGAGTCGTAATCAGTTCCCAGCTCTGACCTTTTCCAGATGGGGGACACATCTCAGGTGTAGTGAGGTGGTGGCAGAGCTGGGACTAGAACTGGGGTCCCCTGGCTCCATGTCTTTCCGTCTACGGCGGCGCTGTGCCTTGCTGGGAGAGAAGTTAAGGACAACTGTCCATGGTAACTTCAGTTGGTGGGCCTCCCTCTAGGTCCTCCTGCCCTTGCCCGTCCCTGGCCAACTGCTCCTTCTCAGGAAAGACCTGCCCTCAGCTCTCTTAGCCCCGAAGTCTAGGAGAGGGAGGGGAGGAGGGAGGGTTGATTTCACTATTACAGTATTGCTGACTCTGTCCTGAGGAGGAAGCCTCGGCCAACTCAGGCCACTGCAGGGCAACTAGCTAATTATCTGTCTTTCCAGATGGACTGAACATATGACAGCGAGAACTGTTTGTCTTGTTCACTGCTGATTCCCTAGGGCCTGTCCCACGCCTTAAAGAATGGGCAGGATTTCACCAAGGTGGGGAACCTGGTGGGGTTGGGAAGAGAACATGCTGGGAAGGAGGATGCAGCACTGGCCAGCATCGAGCATTCCTTTGTGTTCAGTGGCAAAATAAGGCTGGAGGGTGTGTTGGGGACTCGCTATATATGTATGTTTAAATGCTAGTACACTTTGACCCGGCAATTCCACTTAAAAGAATTTGTCCCAAGGGACTAATCCAGACAAATGTACAAAAAAGTGTGTACTAGGCTATTCAATCACAGCATTATTTTTTGTTGTTTTGTTGTTGTTGTTTTTGAGATGGACTCTGACTCTGTCACCTAGGCTGGAGTGCAGTGGCTCAGTCTCAGCTCACTGCATCCTCCGCCTTCTGGGCTCAAGCGATTCTTCTGCCTCAGCCTCCCAAGTAGCTGGGACTACAGGCGTCCGCCACCACTCCCAGTTAATTTTTATATTTTTAGTGAAACCAGACAAGAGTTTCGCTATGTTGACCAGGCTGGTCTTGAACTCCTGACCTTGGGATCCACCCATCTTGGCCTCCTAAAGTACTGAGATTACAGGCATGAGCCACCGTCCCTGGCCCACAGCACAGCATTATTATTATTATTATTTTTCTTTGTTTTTTTTTTCTTTTTAAAGATGGGGTTTCACCATGATGGCCAGGCTGGTCTTGAACTCCTGACCTCAGGTGATCCACCCACCTTGGCCTCCCAAAGTGCTAGGATTACCGGCAGCATTGTTTTTAAAAAAAGGAAACATAATAGACCCGGGGGACTCCAGAATGGGGAAGGGTTGGGGTGGGATGTTAAGAGTCGAAAATTTACCGATTGGGTACTGTATTCATTTATTTAGGTGATGGGTTCACTAGACATCCAAACCTCAGCATTCCACAATATATCCATGTAGCACACCTGCACATGCACCCCAAGTCTACAATAAAATTAAATGAAAAATTAATAATAAAGGAAACAACCTAAATATTCAGTAATAGCAAAGCAATGATATAAAATATGGCACATCCAAAAATAATGAGTTATCTGACATTTAATAAAAATGACAAATTAGGTATGCCTGACAGGGAAATGTGTTCACAATATGTTAAGTAAAAAAACAGATTATAAAACAGATGGTAATCTTATTTTTATAAAGTAAATTAGCATTTCCTTTGATATGTAAATTTATAGACAGAAAAATGTTTGCAGGAATAAGAACCAAAATGTTTATAGTCATTATCTCTGGGTTACAGAATTAAAGGTGACTTTTCTATTATGGTGGGGGTGTTACTATTGTTTTTATTTTTTATGTTTTTCTCGTGCTACCTTGTCTAAGATATTATTTTTATCTAGATATATCTTCTAGTTATTGTACAGTGAATATATGTTTGGTAATCATTTTATAAAGTAAAAAATTTCATGCAAGGAAATCTGAACCTTACTCACAGGTGATGTAAATTAAGTTTTTATAAATTGAATAATGGAGAATCCCCTAAGCAAGTGAGCCAGTTAAAAGAATTTCATGGAAACCCCTCTGGGAACTTGAAGACTCCATTGGCAGGATAGCAAAAAGTATTCTCCGGCCTGTATTTCTCTTGTAAATTCTGATTTTGGAATGTTCCTTTTTTGCACAAGATGGTGGTAAGTTAATAGTTTATAGGGAATAGCACGGCAGGTTTAGACCTTGTCAGGTCATTGTGATCAAGCCACCAAAGTATCTGATTCAGGGCAGTGTTTTGTAAACCAGCAAAGCACCCAGATTCACCTTGAGTAGTAAAATTCCAGTTGTGGGTCTGGAGTGTGGCTTTGTCACGGATATTGTTTTTCTGGTTTTGTTTTGCGGCAGCAAATGGTTGAGTGTCAAAAGTATCCTGGGACCCCTCGGCTTGTGCCCAAATCATGTTTGCTCCTGTGCACTTTCCTTACAGGAAAACCTGATCGGCGCCCTCTTGGCGATCTTCGGGCATCTTGTGGTCAGCATTGCCCTTAACCTCCAGGTAAGTTTCAGCCACCAGCACTGTCTGGGGGCAGAGACACAGCTGATGAGTCAGGGTATCTTATCCAGGTCCAGCTATCTCCTCTATGCAGGGCCTTTCCTACTACACTCCTGGGCTGTACCTGGGACAATACCTTGTGGGCCGCTCCATGATTTCTCTTGATTCGGTGGCCCCACTCCATCCCACCCTAGCCCTCCTAGCCAGGCCCTGACCATCTCTCTTTGGGCTTTGCAATGACCTCCTGCTAGCCTCTCTGGCTCTGGTCTTATCCTTTCCTGTTTCCTTTGCTGCAAAGCTGCTGGAATTACCATAGTTTTATCAAACTTAACTCTAATTACAGCACTGTTCATTACTTAAAAGCCTCAGGGGTACCCTATACAGCTGCTGTGGACGCTCCCACTGACTTCCAGGTCCCCTCGGCCGGTTTGAGTTCACAAGCAGCTGTGGTATGGAGCAAGTTGATAGCTAAGGAACTTCTCATGGGAGCACCAGGGAGCTTGTGATACTGGTATGCGGCACAGCTGGGGTGCACGTTGGAGCAGGCGGGTGGTTAACGCCCCTGGAGGCTGTCTTCTGTCAGCGGGGGTGCGAGTCTGGGAATAAATGCCCAGGCTCTTACTCTCTGCTAAGATGATTCTGAGGTGAGATTCACAGGCTTTCTCGAAAGGTCCTCTGTGGGCCTGAGCCCCAGTTGCCTATGGGACTAATTCACTCATTAACGCACCTTTCATCTCCATTCCCTGCCTCGCTTTCCCCCTCCCTTTCTTGTGCTCCCTGGAATCATCTCATACAGACTACCTGCTCCCACATTCCTGTCTCAGGGACTGCTTCTAGGAAATCTGTATAAGGCTTGATACCCGCTAACAGGATGAATCCCACAGCACACTGGCCGGCTTCACTCCACCAGCACTTCAGTCTGCCAGCCAGCACTGCCCAGCTTCTGCCTGCAGTGAACTGCTCTCCTCCCTGGAGCAGGCGGGAGACTGTGATCCCTGTGGGCACACGCGTGTGCCTTGCTCACCTGTACCCTATGCGTCTCAGCTCTGGGATGTGTATGTTTCTGTGTGTCGCTGAGACCACGTGGTCTCTTAGCTACTTGTCTGGTTCATTCTCTTCTTTCTCCACACCAGTGTCTGTTATTTATCTGCTTCTGGGCAGCCCACATCATGATCCTCCCCAAATGGCAGACTTTGCCCTCTAAGTCAACGTGACTTTCTAGCCTGCCTTAGTTACTGCCTCAGTTTCTCCATCTAGGTTCATATTTCCCCCAAAAAGAATATTGACCATGCTTGAGCCACGTATCCACCCCAGGGAGAGCAAGGTCCGCTGATAACCACATGACCGCCCAGCGAGAGCTGCTGGCAGGTGGACAGGAAGGAGTGTGCCGAACACTCAGACATCCCAAACATGAGGGATTCTGGAAACTACGGAGAGAGGGAGATTGACCTGAGGGCCAGGTCAAGTGGGATCTTTAGACTATGGCTTGTACCCTGAGACTGCGTATTGCCTGTGACGTGCATTAGAAATGCCTGTTTCCAGACCTCACCCACGCCTCTCTGAGACTGACTCAGGATAAGGCCCAGGCAGATATTTTGTCAAAGATTCCAAGGGAAGTTGTAAGAATTCCCAGCCTGTGGGAGAACTGCTGTCTTAGAATAACTGTCTAGTATTTAGATCCCTACTGTCTTACTCTTCTCTGAGTCAGGACTCCACAAGAACCTGACAAGTCTTCCCAATTTATTTTCAAGTTGGGGTAGATTTAGGTTACCTACATCATAGCATTTTTTTCCCCCAAACATCTGAGCAAATTACATTATTTTTCGGGTTTCTAGAAGTACTGCCACATCCGCCTGGCAGGCTCCAAGGATCCCCGGGCCTATTTCAAGACCAAGACATGGTGGCTGGGCCTGTTCCTGATGCTTCTGGGCGAACTGGGTGTGTTCGCCTCCTACGCCTTCGCACCGCTGTCACTCATCGTGCCCCTCAGCGCAGTCTCTGTGATAGGTAAGACCAGAGCTGCCCCACCTTCCCCTGGGGTGCTACTGCCAGGATCAAAGGTGCTCAATGAACAGACCAGTTTCCCTTTAGCTTGGATAATAAGAGCCTAATACAAAGGGCGTCAGACACACCACGCCCTGTAAGTGTTTACAGATCTTAATTCTGCTAATCCTCTGGCCACCTATTGAAGGAGATGTTGTTGTTATCCTCATGTAACAGATAAGGAAACTGAGGCACAGGGTAATGAAATTACGTTCCCCAAATGACACAGGTAGTGAGGGCTGGGATGTGAACTGGGCTGTCTGGTTCTCGAATCTGTTTTAAGATTCCGAAAGTTTATCAGAATTGCTTTTTATTTCTAAAAGAAGAAGGAAGATAAACCCTAATCTATGCATCTTTTCACTATCAAGATACATTAAGCTTTTTGCTGGGTGCAGTGGCTGGTACCTGTAATCCCAGCTACTTGGGAACCTGAGATGGGAGGATCACTTGAGGCCAGAAGTTTGAGACCAGCCTGGATGATATGGAGAGACCCCATCTCTACAAAAAAAAAGAAAAAAAAAAAATTAGCTGGGCATGGTGATGTGCACCTGTGGTTCCAGCTACTTGGAAAGCAGAAGCAGAAGAATCCCTTAAGTCCAGAGTTTGAGGCTGCAGTGAGCTTTGATTGCACAATTGCACTCCAGCCTGGGGGACCCCATCTATTAAAAAAACAAATTAAGCTTTTATAGAGTTCCTTCCAAAGTGCTGGGACTACAATTGTAAGCCACCACGCCTAGCCATTAACTTTCTCATCTGCCAGTTTTCTATGATTTCCGTAATCACTGAACCAGTGTTTCAGAACATTTGAACCAACTAAAAGACAAAGGAGCGTTAGTGTTCATGAGAACACAAGCAAAATAGAATTAGAAAAAAAAAAAAAAAAGGCTGGGCGCAGTGGCTCACTCCTGTAATTCCAGCACTTTGGGAGGCTGAGGCTAGTGGATCACCTGAGGTCAAGAGTTCAAGACCAGCCTGGCCAACATAGTGAAACCCCATCTCTACTAAAAATACAAAAAATTAGCTGGGCATGGTGGTGGGCGTCTGTAATCCCAGCTACTCTGGAGGCTCATGCAGGAGAATCACTTGAACCCAGGAGGCAGAGGTTGCAGTGAGCCAAGATGGCGCCATTGCACTCCAGCCTCGGCAACAAGAGCAAAACTCCATCTCAAAAAGAAAAAAAATCGGTTTCTTCTTAAAGAAAAGTCGTTATTAGATTAGTGAACAATAGCTTTTTTGTGTGTGTAGCAGCCAGGACAATGAACTTGCTTTGAAATAATTCTTTCCATTTTGCTGGCAAGCACTACTCTGCCCAGACGCACTTCTCTGCTCTTAAAGGAGAAAGTCATATTTAGGGTCTTATTCCTCCTTGAGTTAAAAGTTTCTCTTCTATTTAAGGGATGGCAGATGCATGGTAACTATGTGCCCCTTCCTGTGCTCCAGGCAGACATCGTTAATCAATCATGGCACTCCTTCCTAGAGAGCCTAGATGGGGCCTCAGAATTCTCAGTGCTTCCAACAGTTACTAACAGTCACCAGGAGTTGGCAAAGGAGCAGAAATCTATTTACTTTCCCTGTTCCTGTTATAAGGCCCTGTTTTTCCTAACCAGGGTTGGTGAACTGGCAGTTTATAAAATGAATGAGGTCCTCAGGCATGGTGTGTGTTTTCTCCCACACAGTATTTTTGTTTTTAATGTAATTTGAATTAGCTGAGACAAGTAGTTTGCCAGAGTCTCAGCCTTTCCCTATTGTCTTACTTCCGGACCATTTTCTACGTTTATGTTATGTTACTCCCCAGCCCCTCTATGTGATCATACCTGTAGCCTTATCACTCTGCTCTGCCCACTGCAGGTATCTCCAAAGGGCTCCCAAACCTTTTCACAATGAGAAATAATTGTCTGAGTGACTGGTGCTTTAGATATTAGTCTTTGAATTTTAATAAGTTTCAAAGAACAAAATTCATTTTTTTTAAAGGCTAATTTATAATGATAAAACTTCAGATATCAACCACTGGAAGTTAAGGGGCCCTAGAGCTTCTGAAGTCATCCAGTGAAGAATAATGTTAAAGAATAATGATTACCATTTATTAGATATCTATGACTTAACCATCACTGCTCCAGGTACTTTTAGTAATAATAGCTTAGTTATTGAGATTGACTGTGTGCCAAATGACTTGTATATATTCTTTAATTACCCCTATCATTCAGAAAGTAATTTTCAATGGTATGCTGGTAAACCACCTCTCAGAGAGACAAAGGAAAAAAAGAAGGGGAGATGAAGGGATGGAGAAAAGGGTTGGAAAGGTGGGAAAGGAGAAAAGAAAGAGCTGATTTGTAGTGCTTGCCAGTTTATATGGTATATATATTATTACTTCCACTATAGCTCATTTCAGGTAGGATTGTTTCCTGAATATTTAACAAAATATTTAACATTCTATGAGCTGGTGCCAGCTGGATCTAACACCATATTTCATAGAGAACTGAGACTCAGGTGAAGTGACATATCCAAGGATACACAGCCAGAAGAGTCAGAACTAGGATGGTGAGTGATCCAGGTCTGTTCATAGTGACTGCCAGCCCTATCCTTTTGGGCAGTCCCAAGGGTCTTTGAGTATATCTGTGAACATGGAAGAGGCAGGGAGAGGAAGAATTGGGGGAAATGTCAGAGATGGGTGTTGCAGTGAAAGGAGTAAGAGGCCTGGCCTCCTGCAGTCCTGGGTTCAATTCTTGCCTTCCCTTACCACCTTTGTGGTCTTGAATGGGCCCTTCACCTCTCTCAGCTTCAGTGTCCCCATTTGTCAAATAGGAATAATGAGAGCACCCACCTCCAAAGGTGAACATGCCAGAAATATCTTGTGTAAACCACCTGTTGCACAGCAGGTACTCAATGCTTCTGGCCTTGTAGGAAATCCTCAGGAAGGAAGGCTCCTCTCTGAGCCTCCCTTTCCTAGATGGAATCACATAGGACCCAAGCTCTTGGCAGCATGAGTGACAGGAAGTACCAAGTTCCAACGCAAAGGAGCTACCCAGAGGGTACGGGTGAAGGGATGCCCTTTAGCTAACAGCAGCCTCAATTCTCTTTTCTTTGTGCTTCATTTTTCAGCCAGTGCCATCATAGGAATCATATTCATCAAGGAAAAGTGGAAACCGAAAGACTTTCTGAGTAAGTTCAGTGATTTGAACTGTGTCCTTAATTTCGTACTAATGCTTTTTGTTAATTGTAAAACCAGTTCACTCTAATTCAGAGGTTATCTGCCTCCTGCTCTTCTCTGTGGTTCTATCTTCTGCCCTCAACAGATTCCTCAGAGCTGGATTTATTAATCAGGGGTTCCCAAGCCTGGCCACACATCAGAATCATCAGTGAGGCTTTTAAAAATAGACTTTTATCCATCCTATTGGATCACTTTTGAGCACCTATTGTTGGGATTTTAGGAGGCCCAGTAACAGAAACCCTCTCCCTGACCTAGTTCTAAAGCAATGGGAGTCAAACACAGGTGATCAGAAGTCATACTTTATTCCTAATCAAAGCTAGATTAGAGCATTTTAGGTGAGCTAGATTAAAGCATAAAGCTGCTTAGCTGAGCAGCCAAGGGAAGGTCCTTACACTCTCCCCACAGGACCCTCCAGCTCCCAGTCAGACCTTGGGCAGGTCCCCCAGAGAAACACTAGGGTTTACAGAGTGGAGACGCTTAGCCAGAATTATTGCCTCATATAGTTTAGGCCAGAGAAGGAAGAAAAAAGATCAAAGCCCCAGTGTTTAATTTTTTATTTTTTTAATTGATTAGCTCCATCCAGTTGAGAAATGTGGATCAACAGGGCAAGAGGCAAAAGTGTCATTTTAATGGAGGTCCCTCCACATGGAAACCCAAGGAGTGGGGAAGAAGTGTTCCCCACAAAACACCTACTAAGTGCCATGTTGTGTTATAGGTGCTGGAGATACAGCAGTAGGACAGATGGGGCTTCTGCTCCCAGAGATATGTATGTATGTATGTGTGTGTGTGTGTGTATGTGTGTGTGTGTGTGTGTGTGCTTGTGTGTGTGTGTGTGTGTGTGCGCGCGTGTGCGTGTGTGTGTGTGTGTTGGGGGAGGGGAGAGACACAATAAACAAGTAAACAACTAAATGAAATAATTTTAGGTTGTAGTGAGTTTTTCAGAGAAAATAGAATGCTTTTAGTGACTGGGGAGATGGGAACACTTTCCTAGACTGATCAGGGTCAGACTGTCTGAGGAGGTGATTTTTTCCCCCAACTTTTAAGTTCAGGGGTGCACGTGCAGGATGTGCAGGTTTGTTACATAGGTCAATGTGTGCCAACGTGTGGTTTGCTACACAGATCATCCCATCACCTAGGTATTAAGCCCAGCATCTGTTAGCTATTCTTCCTGGTGGTCTCCCTCTCCCCATCCCCCACCCTCCGACAGCTCCCAGTGTGTGTTGTTCCCTGCCCCCTCCGTGTATTTATGTGTTCTCATTATTCAGCTCCCACTTACAATTGAGGACACACAGTATTTGGTTTTCTGTTCCTGCATTAGTTTGCTGAGGATAATGGCTTCCAGGTCCATCCATGTCCCTGCAAAGAATATAATATCGTTCCTTTTTTTGGCTGCATAGTATTCCATGGTGTATATGTACCACATTTTCTTTATCCAGTCTGTCATCAATGGGCATTTAGGTTGGTTCTATGTCTTTGCTATAATGAATAGTGCTGCAGTGAATATATGTGCATATGTGCACATCTATCTTTATAATAGAACAATTTATATTCCTTTGAGTATATACCCCGTAATGGGGTTGCTGGGTCATGGTATTTCTGCCCCTAGGTCTTGAGGAATTGCCATACTGTCTTCCACAATAGTTGAACCAATTTATACAAGGAGGTGATTTTTAAGCCTAGATCCAGGTCCTACTAGAGGATTGCCATCCCCAGGTCTGTGGGCAGGGTTTTCCACATAGCAGGAGCTGTGAGGCAGGAACCAGCTTGGTTTGTCTAGTCTCAGTAAGGCTGTGTAGCCAGAGGGGTGTGAAGAAAGTGAGAGAGAGATCAGGGAGGACCGGCTGATGTAGGCTTATGCATCATACTGTGGAGTTGAGGAGTATGGTGGCCCAAGCTCTGTCCTCAGAGCTTCTGAGCTGTGGGCTGGGGCCTGGGCATTGGCGTTCTTATAGAGCTCCCCAGGGTCAATCATATACTGAAGTCCACAAATCACTTTGAAATGCATGAAAAATAAGATGGATTGACACATGGATAGGTAGGTGAGAAAACAAGTATTAGGCCAATTTAGAATCTAGCTGTTGGGACTATGGATACTCACCATACAACTCTTTGAACTTTAACGAATGTCTGAAAAATTTTAAAACAGAACTTCAGGGAAAGAAAATTTCTAAGATGTTGTGTATATACAGCCAAGTTTGGGGACCACTGTTGGGAATAATAAGATTGAGATGGGACCAAGAGCCCGAAAATAAAAGGATTTTACTCTGAAAAAAAAGCAGAACTTTGGAAAAAAAAAAAAAAAAAGTAGAGACTTTGGAGCTATTGCCAAGAAGACCAAATGACAGACCCCAATTTCAGTAGTCTTAATGAGGGGATAGGGGAGTTAGGGCTGGTTCCAAGACTACTATAGAGGTTTGCATCCCTTTGGGAATACTCTAGGTAGTCCTAGGATGAGAGCCATGCTAGTCCAAGCAGTGCCCTATGTGACTTGGAAAAAGAAGGCCCCTCTGGGCATCTGTAGTTTTATAGGCACAAGCCTTGATGAGCAGGGCATGGCCTGGATTTTTAGCCCATCTCACCCATTCAGCCAGGTGCCCTTGTTCCGTGAGCAACCTGCACAGCAGTACATGGCTGCCTTACCTGGAGTTCCATTAAACTCAGCAAACATTCACTGAGTGCTAGACCTGTGTTGGACACTGCAGGTGTGGAGATGAGTAAGACCCATCTCTGCCCGAAGAATACTTTAGATAACAGACTTACTTTGTTGAGTTTAACCGTGGCTCTTTCATTCGTTGAACAACTATTTTTTGAGCACCTCCTGAATTTACGAGGCCTAGTACTGAGAATAAAGATAAAAGACATTTAACATGGCATCACATTTTCTTTAGACAGTGGGATGAAATAGGCAAAGTTAGTCCTGTCCTGGAAGAATCCAGAGGCCTATGGTCACCGTAAGTGTGGCTGAGAACTCTCGGCCATTTTTTGGCTGCCTGAGGCTGGGCTGGACCTGGAGGCTTTTCACCAACCCTACAGACTTCAATAGGCGTGTGACTAGACTCCGGGGAGAGATGAGAGCCATGCCGCCTGGACCACTAGCAGTCTGTGATGGGTCTGTGGAGGAGAATATCGATAGTAATTATATAGTTCCCTTGCACACAGGTTAGATAGCCATTTGGGAAAAGATGAGGTAATTTTTAGAAGGTACCTGTTGAGCTCTGAAGGTTTGCCTTTATGTTTTATTTTATTTGGTTTTTTAGTTTGCGCATAAAGTGATTTTAGCTTTAAAACGCTACCTGTAAAATGCGCATTAAAATCATGGTGCAATACCATCATGGCTAAAATGAAAGAAACAAAATGTGTTGACAAGAATGTAACTGGAACTCTCATACTCTACTGGTGGGAGTGTAAATTGGTACAGCCACTTGGGAAAAACATTTGACACTAACTACCAAGCTGAACATCCACATATCCTGTGAAGGAATTCCACCCCTCATTTTATACACAACAGAAATGCATACACATTTTTCTCAAATGACATGTATGAGAATGTTCACAGCAACATTATTTTTCACAACTCCAGGCTGGAGACTCCTCAAATGGTCCCCAGCAGTAGAATGGATAAATTGTGTTGTATTCACACAGTGGATCACCGTACACAGTGAGAATGAAGGAACTGCCGCTGTGCCCCACAGCGCAGATGAATCTCACAAACATCATGATGAGCGAATACGACAAAAGAGATCAGACTGTGTATGAGTCCATTCATATAAAGCACAAAGGCAGGCAAAACTATCAGTGCCGATACACGCCAAGATAGTGTCACCCTGATGGTGGGGGCTAGCGACCGGAAAGGAACACAAATGAGAAGTTTCAGGATCCGGCTCATGTTCTCCTCCTCCATCTGGGAGCTGGTTTCATGAGTGTGTTCACTTTGGGAGAATTCCTCAAGCACTTTTTGTATGCAGGTTATACTTCATTAAAGGTTTGGGGTTTTTTGTTTTGTTTTGTTTTGTTTTGTTTTTACATTAAGTGTTTTTTTTTTAATGACATTAAGGAAGATCATTTATTTTTTAAAGTAAAGAAAAACCAAAAATACAAACAATAACAGGTCATGGTATGTTGCACGAGAAGCCTGTTTCTTCATGGCTGAGAATGTGTACTGTATCTCAGGTCTGTTCTTGCAGTGAGTCCTTGACAGCTTCTCTTCCCCACAGGGCGCTACATCTTGTCCTTTGTCGGCTGTGGTTTGGCTGTTGTGGGTACCTACCTGTTGGTGACATTCGCACCCAACAGTCACGAGAAGATGACAGGCGAGAATGTCACCAGGCACCTCGTGAGCTGGCCTTTCCTTTTGTACATGGTAAGAGAAGCCTCCAGTCCTTCCCCCTGAGATGGCAGGAGGGAGATCAAGTCCTAGAAACCAGAAACATGAATACCCAGCAACAGGGGATTCCATGAATTGTGGCACATTTTACCAGCTTGAAAGACCATGCTTCTGGAGAGTATGCAGTTTGTGGTGAAATGCTTGTTTCATTCATGTCCTGAGTAATATAAAAACCATTATATAGTAGGATGCCAATTTTACTTTTTAGAGGTGTGTGTGGGTATGGTCATATACTGTATCTATGAAGGCCTGGATGGGAAAACAAATTCCATCTGTAGTTAGCGCTGGGAGATAGTGTCATGACTCAGTTCTTATTCCCTCTTCATCTTTCTAAATTGTCCAGAAGTTCTACACTAACCATTTCAAACTTTATGGTAAGGGGAAGAAAAAGTTAAAACTGTAAATAATTTAAGAATGTTATTTTATTTCCCAATATCACACTGCTGATAGAAGCTGCTAGAAGCCCAAGAGACACAGGGAACTTTGTCTCCTAATCCCTCAGCCAGAGCTCAGTCCTCTGCCCCAGCTCTATCCCATTTTAGGTCTACAAATAAACTGACTAAGGAAAACTTCTAAAGTTTTTGATAAAGCTACTGGTACATTTTTGTTCCATGCCCTGTGCTGTGCTGAACACATTTTTATATATCATCTCAGATTCTCCTAACCCTATAAAGTAAGTGTTCTTCCCATTTTATGGGTGAGAAAACCAGAGCTCTGAGAGGTTAGCTCATCTGCTCAGAGTCCATAAAAGCAGAGCTGGATGTGAAGGCTGGGCCCACCTGGTCTCAGGTGCTGTCTTCCTTCCCCATGGCCTACTGACAAAGGTGTTCACTGTTCTCCTCTGTCATAAACAGCCTGGTCTCTGATTGAGTCTAGAGCCCTGGAATATCCTTTTTCCTCAGATCATTCACAAGGCAGAGCATCAATTCCCCTGAAATAGGGTCTGTGTCATTTCCCAAGTGGCAGCCATCCCCAGCATGTAGTTGGTGACAGAGCAAAGACTGCCTCCTTGGGCAAAGTTTTAGGGCTTCTATCCTCTAAGTGCTGTGTGGCCTTAGCCAAGTTGCTTTCCTTCTCTGTTTCCCTCTCTGTAAAATGGCAAGAATCTCTGGACTTAGAATTGCTATTGGGAGATCCAGGAGTTAGCATTTAAGTTACCCGGAATGTGGTAGATGCTCAGTGAATGATTTCATTGCCTTACTTCATCATGACTGGGAGGGGGTGCTTCCAGCTGGAGAGATTTGGCCAAACCAAATTCCATCAATATTTATTGAGCATCTGCTGTGTGCTAGACACCATGGATATAAAAAAATAAATGAGACATCCCTACGGAACTCACGGACTGTTGGGAGGCACCACCTATGCACAGCCATCTCATGGCATGATAGCCAGTGCTACTCCAGCGTTCATTTTAAAATCATGGCGAATGGGCCACGTGTGGTGGTTCACACCTGTAAGCCCAGTATTTTGGGAAGCCGAGGCAGGAGGATTGCTTGAGCGTAGGAACTTGAGACCAGCGTGGGCAACATGGCAAAATGCCGTCTCTATTTAAAAAATAAAAGTAAAAATTAGCTGGGTGTGGTGGTGCATGCCTGTGGTCCCAGCTACTCAGGAGGCTAAGATGGGAGGATAGCTTGAGCCTTGGAGGCCAAAGCTACAGTGAGCCGTGATCACACGACTGCACTCCAGCCCGAGTGACACAGTGAAACCCTGTCTCAAAAAAAGAAAAAGAAAAAAAAAAGAATCATAGAGAATGGCTGAAAAATTGGGACCCCTGAAATGCAGGCACAGTGATTGGGAATGTTGATGATTGATGGCACACCCACTTGACGAAGTATTCTGCGGCAATTAAAGATAATTATGACAGCTTCACAAAACATGAAGATTGTTTATGGTAACTAAAAACAGCCCACTACAAAATTGTGCGTTGACCATGATGACAACTAGATAAAATATGTATTCACTGGAACAAAGACAAAGAAGAAACGGGGAAATGAAAGCAGCTGTGTTTTATGGTCTCTAATTAGAAGGAATGTTTTAAATGTTTCAAAATGCCCACTGATGTTTCTGTGTTGGTTTTTATACCAAATCAGCTTTGATAAGAGGTTTGGGATAGGCAAATGGGACTAAGCTGTTGTCCAAGTTTTCTGCTTTAGTTGCACTGGGCGCTGGGGCTGGCTTAACTTCTTGGGAAAGTGTTAGCAAATACCTGGGCCTTTAAGGGGTAGAAAGGACAAGTTATTGAAGAGAGGAGCGGGGGCTTCTCAAACTCAGAATTCATGTCGTCTAATGGTAAGTTTCTACTGATAGAGCACCTTCTAAACTCCGGGCACTGGGCCTCCCATCTCCAGACAGCATGGCCAGCAGGAAAGTGCATGGGTCTGGGAACCAGACTGTCCAGGTTTCACTTCCTCTGTGCCATGCCTGGGATTGCGGTAGTACCTGCTTCCTAGAGTTACTGTGCTGATTTAGTGAGTTTAAGGTAGATAAAGTGCTTAGAACACTGCCTGGCATACAAGATGTCATTTAGTGTAAGCTGTGATGATGAGCCCATAAAAAGAATTCTTATCCCTATTTCACAGAGGATTAACTAAAGTTTAGAGAAGTTAAGTGACTTACGCAAGGCCACACAACTAGTTTGGAAGCAGATCCAAGTTCAAACCCAGGTCTCCCTGACTCCAAATGCCTTCCTCGTTTTACAGTTAAGCCTCACGTTTGAAGCTTGGCTGGGGGCAGAGGGAGTACATACTCTTCTTCTTCTTCTTCTTCTTCTTATTATTATTATTATTATTATTATTGAGGTGGTGCCTCTCTCTGTCACCTAGGCTGGAGTGCAGTGCCATGACCTCAGCAAGATTCTCCTGCCTGACTCAGCTTCCTGGGTAACTGGGATTACAGGCAGGTGCTACCACTCCCGGCTAATTTTTTTTTTTTTTTTTTTTTTTTTTTTTTTTTTTTTTTTTTTTTTTTTTGTATTTTTGGTAGAGACAGGGTTTCACCATGTTGGCCAGGCTGGTCTCAAACTCCTGACTTCAGGTGATCCGCCTGCCTCGGCCTCCCAAAGTTGCTAGGATTACAGGGGTGAGCCACCACGCCCAGCCTCATGTTCTTGACCAAAGAGCTTGGCGAACAAGTGTCTCCCTCTTGGACTGATCTGTTGTTTTAATGGGGATACTCATGGAGCCGTGGAAGGCGAGGAAATCATCTCAGCCTGATGAATCTTGGTCCTCCAAGAAAAAGTGGATATGAGGGCAGCACATCACCCTCAAAGCTTCAGCCTCAGAAGAACAGGGAGTTACTTCTCAGTACTAGCCAGGGACTAGAGAGGTTCACTCTGTGTTTCCCTTGTCCCCTGAATATCTAACAATAGTTTGGGAAATGCTGAATCAGAGCTCGGTCATTCCCTTTCAACCCTGGGACTCTGATAATGGCCCACCCCGCCAGTGCCTCCCAGTCTCACCTACCTCTGTGGTCCTCACTGACCCCCCTCCTTGTTGCCTTCCACAGCTGGTGGAGATCATTCTGTTCTGCTTGTTGCTCTACTTCTACAAGGAGAAGAACGCCAACAACATTGTCGTGATTCTTCTCTTGGTGGCGTTACTCGGTAAGTTGGCATCTGGGTGATTGAGTTTTGCCACCACCAAGAAGCACCAAATGGAGATGTGGATTTTGTTTGCAGAGCTGTGGCCCCTGGATCCAGAAGCCACTTAAGACTGGCTCAGGTTGTCCTGTCTCTATCAGTGGCTTGGGGGAGCTGGGTCCCTGCTGACTGGAGACAAAGTCCTGTCCTCAAGGAGCCTCCAGTCTAAAGGGAGAAAATAGCAGTAAACAACTAGCCAAATTCATAGGTTATGTAAGCTTGGGCAGTAACAATTCCAATGAGGAAGAATAAAGCAGAGTGAAGATGAGGTGACGACAGAAGTAGAGTACGCCCTGGCAACTGAGCCCAGAAAAGATCTGTGCAAAACTTATCAGAGCTGAGGAATTCATTCTGGATTCAAAGGCAAAACCAGATTTTGTCCTCTATTTTTTTCCCCCTTTTAGAGGGATGGGTGCTGTGGAAGAGATGGCTCCTGAATCAGCTTAAGGCTAGAACTACATATTAAGTTTTCCTTTTTTTTGAGACAGCCTCGCTCTGTCATTCAGGCTGGAGTGCAGTGGTACAATCATAGCTCACTGCAGTCTTGACCTCCTGGCCTCAATTGATCCCCCTGCCTCTGCCTCCCAAAGTGCCAGGATTACAGGCACGAGCCGCTGTGCCTGGGTAGAACTGCATATAATTTGATACGTAAATAGAGCTGTGGAAGAAGAACAGGGAATTACTTCTCAGTACTAGCCAGGGACTAGAGAGAAGGCTAGTCCTTCCTGAGAAGGAGGAGCGGACAGAGGCAGAGGAGCAGGCTGTGTCAAGGCTGGTGGAGCCTGCTGCTGCACTGCTCTTGTATCTCTGGCCTCAGGCTAGTGACCCTCCCTCCTTAAGCCACACTGTCCACTTCTCTAAAGCGGGGAGTATGAGAACTTCCAAGTCACAGAAGGGAGTCGAGGTAAAATGAGACATGCAGGTGCCTAATATGTGTATTTCTCTTCTGACCTTCCTGTTGAGTGCCTCACCACAGCGACAGGCCATCAACCAAATAGATATCTGTCACTGAAGACAGGGTTGCATTAATTAATTTTTTAACAGCTCTGTTGGGATATAATTTATATACCATAAAGTTCA